AAATAATTTTTAGATTAGGAAAACAAAACTAAGTTCTACTTGTATCCAGGAATGTAGCAATATTTTTAGAATGTATAGTGTAATTAATGTACAAAGTAAAACATCAGATGACATTTGTGAATTAAGTAGTTCTATTTAGGCCATTAAAAGCATAATGGTCATTTCTACTTAGCCCTAGTAAGAAACATACTGTTTTTTATTATATTGTATTTTATATTCTCTGGCATATTATAAGATACCCAGAGTCATATAGAGTTGGGCAGCATGAAATTTAAAAAAACAATAAAATAAAATAATCCATAGGATATCTTTATCCTGTCTTTAATATATTATCTTCTCTAATTTTGTTGAATTTTGTTTAAACTCCTTTACGACAAGGAATTCAGTCTTCTAATTATTATCCTCAGGCATATTATTTAATCAAACAGTATACAGTAGTTTTAATTTGTTATCTGTTTAAAAATATGAAAAAACTAAAAGATGCATACTGGAATCTATAATATGTATCACAGTAGTTTCCACAACTTGATTGAGTGCCTACACTCTTTAAAAAAAAAACTCCTCTAGTGATATTAAAAAGGATAACGTTTTTCATTTGCTTCATTGCTGAAATGTTTGTATTTTTTTTAAAAAAAATTCTCTTCTTCAACTATGGGTCAGCAGATATTTTATTATACCGTATTTTTCGGACTATAAGACGTACCTGTGTATAAGATGCACCAAGATTTCGAAGAGGTAAGTAAGAAATTTTTTTTTGCCTTCCCCCAGCCCCCAGGAGCACTCTGCAGGTTTCAACAGGGCTGGGGGAAGACAAAAAATACCCCTGTTTTTGCAAAAATAAATGACCTGTTTTTCACAAAAATGGGATGCTGGGGTGGGGTTTTGGAAGCCAAAAAATGGCTGTATTTGGTGTATAAGACGCACCAACATTTCCACGCTTTTTAAGGGGGGGAAGATATGTGTTATAGTCCAAAAAACACGGTAACTCCTACCAAGTTTGATGCTGACTAATGCTGACTTGGAGCTATTTTGCTCAAAATTATCAGGGCATCTAAAACTAGGAAAAGCAACCTAAAAGAGTTTAGGGAAGGTTGTTTGGTTACAATTTACTTTACATAATTCAAATGTAGTTCCTTTTTTGTTCTTTTAAATATCTACAAAATTAAAATTAGATTCATACACTGTGCTATGCTATAAGCCTATGAATGTGGATTACATTTAGGAATCACATTAATGGCCCTTAAACAAGTCACATTGTCATTTACTGCAAAGGGTGTAGTTGGAGGGGAAATTGTTATTTAATCACGTTGACCAATCCACTGAGTATTAAGAGATTTTAAAGAGAACTGGCTTTCATTTGTCACCTTCCATGACCCCTAATTTTCCCCCTAGAGAAAGTCCATTAAGCAAGAAAAGACAAAATAGCTAAGTACTAGGAGCTCTTTAGTTGAAAACACTATTTTGTTTCAATTAACAAATTATCGGGGGTTGTTAAACTAACAGAGGCTATAGCTCTTAAAAAATCAAGTCCCCTTGTATACTATGTATGTAATTGTTCTAGGCAAGTATTACTCAACCTTGGTGACCTGAAGATGTCTGGACTTCAACTAACAGAATTCCTCAACTAACATGTTTGCTGGCAATTCTACAAGTTGATGTCCTCACATCTCCACACCACCAAGGTTGACATACATTGTTCTAAGCCATATCAGTGGATCCTTCAATCTCTTGAGGATTTTCCAGAGACTACACAAAACTGCTTTCCCATTTTCCATTATTAGGAAGTTAGGGTAAATGAACAGATTGTCTCCTAGGAAATCTCTTAATTTAATTCAATACATCTGTATCTCCTCACTAAAACAGACTATAAACATGAGAAATATTTTCCTTAAAACTGAAAACAGGAATTCAGCCTCACAGTAGCCTGGGGATTCCAAGCCAATTTTGGTTCAGGAGGGAGGGTTTTACTGGAACAACCTGGCTGGTAAATCTAAAATGGGCAAGTTGACAAAATCCAATATGCTTATAAACAATGTTCAAATTAGGAAAGCAAAACTAACTTCAACTTATATTTAGGAATGTAGCAATGCTTTCAGAATATACAGTTCATGTACAAAGCCAAACAATATTATAAAATGTTCTAGGATAAAAAGAGGCTTTGATGTCTTTAGCTGATCTAATCAATTAAAACTATACCAGTCACGTTTCACTTGCTCAAATATTTGCGTAAATGTTTTCTTGATGGCAAAAAAGGAAAAATCAGAGTTAAAGTTTTTAAATGAAAAGGTTTTATAATTTTAATAAATATATATCAAGAAAAAAACCACACTTTACTACAACATCACCTTAGTATACAAATATCTAAATAGCTAAGCTTAAAACATTCAATGTTTGACATATATTGGAAAAAGAGGAACAGATCTTTCTGTTCTCAACTGAATCTAACACAAGAAAAGTCAACTTTAAAAAAAATTGGTCCATGTGGACAAATGACTAAATGATCCTACTCATACACTGTATGAATGAGACCTATATTTAATATTCATAGCAATAAAAATGCTTTTGTCTTGGAGAAAAAAAGGTGGGACAACCTTTTAAAATGTCAACCTTGTAAAATTTCCCATTTTGACATGTATCAATTTTATATTTAATTCTCTATAAGCAGGATCTATGGGCACATGACATATATCTGTAACATAGCAATACAATGGCTGCCATGATGGAAGAATCTTGAATTTTCATACACGAGACATTTTATGTGTCATAGAAGCATTAAAAATATGTAAATTGCCTCAATCAGCTAATCCCTGGAGAATGGATTTAGATATAAGGAGACATAGTCTTGCCTAAAGTTAAATTAATACAATTCAAGACTGCTAGCCAGACGGTTAGCTACCGTAATTCCTGCCTCTCCTAAGATAATGACAAAGTCCTAGAGAAGTCCTGTAAAAAAGTTGGAGGAAAGGTTCTCTATGCATTCTATATTTGTAGTTATTTTGGCTTTTAATCCACCTCCTTGTTGCCACATGTGTAATGAAGAATTAGCAGAAATGGATGGGATCTGGGTAAGGAACTCCCTCACCCTGAATCGTAATGATTTGACGTCTGTGTGAGTTTCTTTTTTTTTTTTACTCAGTCTTTGAGAAACTGGAAGGGGAACAAAGCAGGGGCTGAGAATTTCTCTGACTCCTTTTGCAGCAGCTGTTTTCCTTTCTCCTATACAAAACAAAGACAGAGGGAAGGAAGGTAGGAAAATAAGGAAGGAGGGAAAATAGAGTTGTCCATTGATTTCTTCCTCCACTTAAAATTTGTTGGAAATAAAGAGGAAAGTCCAAGTGGTGACAAAACTCTTTTATGTAAAGTAACCCTAGTGGCTCCCATTTTTTAATAAGGGGGCAAATTTTTACCTTCCCAGTACAAATAAATGATATGGTTCCATTCATTTGCATAGGGAAGAGAGAAGCCAATGGATATCACAATATGATCCGATCATTACTATTGATTCTGCACTTCAATACCACCCTGAATGCTGCAGCTCTAAAAATCTTTGCATTTCCTCAGTCCAGAAAAAAGTTGAAGGCAGCCTTGTGTTATGTAAAAGGAAAGGTGACCACACAATACATTGCAGGGCCCTTTCCTGGCTGTTGGAGCGGAAATGTTTCCCAACTACTTGATTTGACTGGTTCCTGGTCCTCAGATGTAAAGCCAAGAAAGTTAAGCTCTTCCTGTTGCGTTTTGAGCAACTGAACTCTACTTCAGCAGCCTTCCAGTAGAATAGCAAAATAGTGTTGTGAGATATTCTAATCTTTAATTAGGGATGTCTGCAGGAAGGCAAAAAAAGTCAAGATGGCAACTTGGCGGTGCAATTAAAAACACCATCATGACTTTTCAATCCTGCCCTCCTAATCGAATCTGTAGCTCCCTTGCTTGCCAGATTCTTATAGGAAACTCGTGGTTCCTGATATAGGGATGTACTAATAATTCTAAATTAGATTTCTTAGACGATAAAACTGTGCATTATCTGGCACAATGCAGTGAACTTAAATCTGTACTTCTAGTGAAAATTAACTCTTTCTTATGGTTTCTCTTTGGGCATTAAGAATGTTCTTTCTATAGTAGTAAAAAAGTTAAGCATGTTTTTAAGACAGATAGTGTGTCTTAAGGGAAAAATTATATTGAAGTTACCCTACTAGAAAATGGTACTTCTTATCCAATCAAATATATAGTTGCTTCAGGTTTTTTTTGTGTATGTTGCACTAATACACAGCTTATTGTCCAAATTGACTGGGTTTATACAATACTAAGCCATGTTGGTGTAATATTATAAGTCCAAAATAAACTATATTATGGTTTACTGTCGTTTTGAACCCACGCTCTGCATATCATGTTGGTGAAAGGACTAAAAAGAAGCCACACACTTAGCATCAGTTAATAGGTAGTTGAACTAATTTCTAGTGTTAAAAACTACATATTTCAGTTCCCAGTATTTGTAAATTAAATTGCTTCTACATCAGACGCTGAATGAAAGGAAGAAAACAGTATTTTAAGCCTGTACTTTGACTTGCAGTAATTTTCTGGCAGACTTTTTCTTAATTTATCACTTCATATCTTAAAGAAAATGTAAGGAATGAATCTAAGATTTTTCTATGCAAAGCATATTCTATATAAAGGAAGCAGAAATCCATTCAAGAATTCATGTTTTTCATAATTAATTGCATCAAAGATGTTCATACAGAATAACAAGAATTATTGATTATAGGGTAAATCTAGGAACTGAAAATTGTTTTATAATTATGTGAATAATTCATGTAGCAGTAGAGAAAAATGTAAATAGTTTTAAGGGGGTTAAATGTTGTTAAATTAATTCTATTAAAGCATAAGTTGGATCCAAATGAAAGTTTTTCATTCATTTCTGTAAAAAAAAAGTAAGGGCATGATGCAGCAATAATGAACTATGCTGAAATTATGATTGCTCCTAATTCAGCCAGACCTTTAAAAGGTGTGATGTAATAATGATTATTCCCATTTATTGATTCCTTCAGCTATAGAAATGATATTTAAATAGAACAAAATTCATTGTGTGCTTTACCTGGAATTAATGATCTTGAATTTTAGACAGAACATTTTAAAATGAATAATTCCAGAGATGATCCAAATATAATCCTAATAATTGAAGATTATCCCCCTCTTTCTCCAAGATAATCTTTAAAAAAAAGATTGAAACTCTTACATTCATTTCAGATAAAAATCTTATATCACCACATCATTTATTAACATTGTGCTTTTTTCCAAAATAAAAAAACCCTACAATTATATGAAAATCCAGTACATGCTCTTTACATTTTTATGAAAAGAGAAAATGACGTGAAACAGAGTAAAATATAAAGCATGCCACTGGTTCATGAACTTCATTATACTAGAAAGAAAAAGGAAAAAAAATATCAAAGCAACAGACAGTTGCCATAGAAATATTCAAAGAGCTAATGCTTGTTTACAAGAGACACATCTCTATTGTTTTTTTCCTTCAATCCTTTCCTTAAAATGGCAAATCAAAAAGCGACTGAGCAAAAAGAATGAATAGCGGCAATTGAATAGGAAATCAAGCTTTGTATTTCAAAGGAGACAGAATTCTAATAATATTTGATCCACCCTGTTATTATTTTTTTCCTGTGTAGGTTACATCCCTGCTGTAGCAGTTTTCTTAAACTTAATTTTCACCCTGGAAAAATTAAGATTAAAAGTAAGGCACCAAAAAATCTCTGCCTTTATAGCAATAAACCACTATAAGGCTTGTTCATTCTTGCAGCTTAGCTGAAAACTGTGCATGTGCTGGAACTGTGTGTAGCATTTCAAATTGAGTCTCCATAAAAAGGTGTTATTGTACCCTATCAATAAAACCAGACTTAAATACATTAGAATAATGTCACTTCTGGACCATAAAGTGGGCCTATTCCATTTCATTTCTATGCAGTCTCACAGACATTTTGATAGGTAAAATGTATTCTTCCTTTCGCTGGTAACAATTTGCTTATCAAATGTATAATTAATTGATAAGCATAAAGAAGATTCCTCTTAATTCCTGCTAGTTTCCCAAAGGGATACATGAAAGGAATTGTATTTTCTCATCTGGTTTATTGGTTCTTCTAGCAATGGAAGTATACAATGCGACTGTGCTTTTTGTAAGGATCCCTTGTATTTATAAATAGCTCATGATGCAGACCATACATACACTTTGATGAAATCTGCTCCACAGTCACTGAAAGTATCCATGAAGCTTATGACACAATTGTACCAGTTCTATAAAAGCATAAGAAAATTGATCCAAACTGATTTTTTTTCTGATAATGTCAATACTGTACTTGCTTCTAAACTGAAATTATTCAGAAGATGGCTCATATTTTATTTCCTTTACTGCAACAAATTTTGCTACCTGGTAAACACTCCCTTTTTCGTAAACACTTCTTCCAACATTCATTCATGTTGCTCTTGTCATCGTGACCCATCTCAAAATAATTGTAATATTTGTTTTTACATTCTATGACATGATCACTTTTCATAGATTCCCAGTCTGAAGCATGTTCTCGATCTATATCATGGCCTCCTTTCTCATTACTGAATATTGACTTGTCCTGATTATCATGTGGCCCAGCATTTGTAATGAAAATTTCATTGGCATGTATATGTTCATCACTCCTGTAAACAGGGGAACTGTTGCTACCATATTCCACTTGTTGGGAACAACTTGGTAAAGATACAGAAGCAGTGGAATTCCCCACTGCAGAATTAGTAGATAATGGCAAACTTAAATAATGGCTGCCACATTCTTGATAAAAGCAGCATGTGTGGATCTTTTCACAGTCCTCCCGTGCCATCCGAAGACGCTTCCTATAAGGACAGTCATGAGACATGAACCATTCTTGACTTGAAGTACCTCCAAAAGAGCAAGTAGGAAAGCACCAGTTGTTTTGCATAATAATCTCTCCATGAATTCTTTTCATTAAATTATTTATGAGAACAGATCTCCTTAGGTAGACTTCAGGGTCATCAATGTACTTCAGTTTTTCCAAAGACATGTAAAGAATATGTGCCCGCTCCTCAAATACAGAGATTGTCTAAAATGAACAAGAGAGAGGAAATAATAATAAAAATGAATGCAGTATTAATTAATTGAATCATGCCACTGAGATTTTATCCATCCATGCAACATATAGTATTTGGGCAGCTGAATCGCTTTGGCACAGGAAAGTTTGGATCATCTTTAACTTTATCTTTTATTCATTTTATTCCAATTTTTTTTATCATTGTGAGCTGCCCAGAGTCAGAGCTGCCCTACCAAAGAGGCAGCATGCAAGTTTAAGAAATTATTATATTATTATGGTTAAGTGGTTCCATTATTGTTTATTGTCCATTATTATTCAACTCTCACAAATCTCATTGGGAGTGTGAGGCTTAATACTGAGTATATTCAACCTTATCACCAAAGTAAAGCTTCCTAAATGAAGGAAACTGGATCTAACAACTGAAAGAAATTGCTTGGTGCTTAGTAATTCATTACCAATGTATCTTTGAAGAGTCCTTTGAACAGAAATGTGCTACTAAATAGAACAATATGTGAAAAAGTATAATAATTTTAGGAGAACAGCTTTCTTCTGGAGATCTGGCTTGTACCATCTCACTGATGTCCTTCCATAAGACGTTCAAGATGGAGCTGTTATGCAGGACAGTTGAAGTTTGATATTATTTTACTGACTATAACAGCCTTGGTTGTTTAGTGATACTTTGTGCTATGTCTTGATGGTGACTTTAATTGTATACTTTCTAAATGTATGCTGTAAAATGTTATTATGTCAGATATGACAGTATATACATTTAATAAATAAATAAATAAACTATTAGTAGGTTTGGTGCTCATCTAGTATTAATTAAGTACTGTAATTTTAGAAAAGCAACAAAAATAGTAGATTATAAGGATTTGGGATTACATGTACATACACTAATTTATTTGTTTCTATATAAAATGTCATTATAAAATTTCAGCATCACATAAAGTAATTTAAAAAGAATTAATTGCTCACTTCAAAACCTGATTCAATTGCAATTACCGGTACTGTTGCTTATAGTTCCAAACTGATAAATATCTGGTAGGCTGTTTCATGATTGCTATAAAACTATCTACTGGTGTCTGTTCTACTTCCCATAGGAATCCTTTCTATTTTACAAAAAAAATCACTATTATTTTTAGCAATCTTACTTAGCAAAAAAAGTCATGGTCTAAATGAACCGTGAATTCTAACATTCTTTGGCAAATGAATTTTGAATTTCCAAATGTCCAAGCAATATAACAACCTTGCAATGTTCTCCTTATCTGTATTATTACAAGCTGGAAAGAGAGAGAAAAAGCAGTCCCAAGGATTGTTACACTGGTGTCAAATTTCATAATGAGATACTTATGAGAAAAAGAAAGAGATAATGGAGAACAGAACAGGTGAAAATCTGTGCAGCTATGTAATAAAATACTACTGCACTACAGTGCTGTTCTCTCTCTCTCTCTCTCTCTCTCTCTCTCTCTCTCTCTCTCTCTCTCTCTCTCTCTCT